CCTCCGCGAGCCTTCGGCAATTTCCGTCGGGAGACCCAGCGCTCGGCAAGGCCCCGAAGCCCCGGCACCGCCTTCTCTGCCGGATCCGGCTTTATGTCTGCGGCGCCGGGGCGCATGCGCAGACGCCATCTTCCCTCCTTCTCCTTTGCTTGCCCCCTCCCCCCGCCACCGCCACCGCCACCGCCTCCTCTCGCCGGCGGTCGCCCCTCCTCCTCCTGCGCTCGGGCGCTGGTCCCTCCTCTCTCGATGCCGCGAGAGACTGGGGGATACGGTGGAGCCGGAGAAGAGCACTAGTAACAACCATCACAGCCCCCTCCCCGCCCGCCGCCCTCCCTCGGCACCCACCCACTCACCCGCCCCGTTTGCCGACACCGACCAACCCCACCTCTCGTTCCTTTGAACGGCGTCGGCTGCAGTCGCTTGCACCAGCGCGTCTGGCCACCAACGCCGCCGAGAAGGAGCCGCCGCTGCCTGCGGCCCCCTCCCGCCCGGGCCGCGGGAGCAGCAGGGTGAGGACGAGCCGGCTGCGGAGGAAGAGGACAGGAGTGGCTCGCACCCCTCTGCGCTAGCGCACATCCCGCCGCCCTCCGGGGAGGCTCGGGCGCCGGCCCCTTCCTCCCCGAGGACGTGTGCCGAGCCGAGGCGCCTGCCCTGAGGGAGGAAAATGCTCGGGCTCCATGGCTGCCAGTGATGGAGCGGTCCCTGGGCTCCCGCTGCCACTGCCGCCGCCGCGCCCCGGCCGTGCTCCGCGAGGACCCGGCGTCTCTGCGCGCCCGCCCGCGCCTCGTTGCTGGGTTCACCGTACCGGGCGCCCCGCCGCCGCCCCGCTCCGAGCCTCGCCGCCCCGGCCCCAGCCGCGGCCAGCGTTTGCTCACGGAACAGCCGCCGCGAGCCCAGGGGGTTTGAAAGGGTCCGAGGGGCGTGGGGGGAGGGCCGAGCGGGGACAGCGGGGCCGGGAGGGGAGGTTTGAGCGACACTGAGCTCGGGGCTCGCCGGCGGCGGCGGCGCTGGGGTGGCGAGGGGAAGGCGACACTCGCTCCTCGCTGCCTTCGTGCAGAGCGACCGGGAGGGTTTTGCAGCGGCCGCCGCCGCCGCGGCGGGAGGAGGGGTTGAGGTGGCTTCTGAGTTATCCGGAGAAGGTGGGCATTTCTCGGTTTTCCCACCCCCTCCCCTTGTCTCCCCCTTGCCTTGTCTCCCCCTCCCTCCTGCCCCGCACCCCACGTGAAGCGGAATATAAAGGGGGGTGTGAGACTAGAGGGGAAAGTGAATGGCGAAGGACTGAAGGGGTTCCCCCCTTCGGGTCCCTGGCCGCCCTGTTCACCCTCGTTCATCCTCCCTTCCCGAAGCTCGCCCTCGAAGGCAGGAGCGGCCGGCGCCTTCGGCTGAGGAGGAGGAGAAGGAGGAACCGCGCCGGGCGGAGCGTCAGGTCCCGTTTTTCCTCCCCGGCGTCTTGAATACAAAGCTTACGGTGCAGAAGGAAATTGCACTCGCCTCCTCCGCCCCCCGGTACCCGACACAATGCACCAGCCGCCTGAGTCCACCGCCGCCGCGGCCGCGGCCGCTGCAGACATTAGTGCTAGGAAGATGGCGCACCCGGCAATGTTCCCCAGAAGGGGCAGCGGTAGTGGCAGCGCCTCTGCTCTCAGTGCAGCAGGTACCGGCGTTGCTAGTAGTGCCACATCTTCCGAGGATTTTCCGCCTCCGTCGCTGCTCCAGCCGCCGCCTCCTGCAGCATCTTCTACGTCGGGACCACAGCCTCCGCCTCCACAAAGCCTGAACCTCCTTTCGCAGGCTCAGCTGCAGGCACAGCCTCTTGCGCCAGGCGGAACTCAAATGAAAAAGAAAAGTGGCTTCCAGATAACTAGCGTTACCCCGGCTCAGATCTCCGCCAGCATCAGCTCTAACAACAGTATAGCGGAGGACACTGAGAGCTATGATGATCTGGATGAATCTCACACGGAAGATCTGTCTTCTTCCGAGATCCTTGATGTGTCACTTTCCAGGGCCACTGACTTGGGGGAGCCTGAACGCAGCTCCTCAGAAGAGACTCTAAATAACTTCCAGGAAGCTGAGACACCTGGGGCAGTCTCTCCCAACCAGCCCCACCTTCCGCAGCCTCATTTGCCTCACCTTCCCCAACAGAATGTTGTGATCAATGGGAATGCTCATCCACACCACCTCCATCACCACCATCACATTCACCATGGGCACCACCTACACCATGGGCACCACCATCCATCCCATGCTGGTGTGGCCAGTACATCCATCCCCGGAGGGCCTCCCGCAAGCCCAGTATCCAGAAAACTGTCTGCCACTGGAAGCTCTGACGGTGTTATACCAGCTGCAGCAACTTCTGCTGTCTCATCGGGTGGCTCACCTGCATCTGTAATGACTAATATCCGTGCTCCAAGTACGACCGGCAGTATAGGTATAAGTTCCGTTACTGGCACTCACACAATGAATAATGTTAACATTACTGCTGTGGGTAGTTTTAATCCTAGTGTGACAAGCAGCATGCTTAGTAATGCTCATATAAATGCAAGCAATATTCCTAGTGCTGCTAGTGCGAGTGTTGGGCCTGGAGTTAGCAGCGGTGTTCATGTGAATATCTTGAGTGGCATGGGCAATGGTACTGTTTCTTCCTCCGCTGGTGTTAACAGTGCCCCTAACGCAGCTGCAGGGATGACTGTGGGACCAGTTTCAAGTCAGCAGCAGCAACCCACAGTTAACACGTCGAGGTTCAGAGTTGTGAAGTTAGATTCTAGTTCTGAACCCTTTAAAAAAGGTAGATGGACTTGCACCGAGTTCTATGAGAAAGAAAATGCTGTACCTGCTGCAGAAGCTGTGGCGATAAATAAAGTGGTGGAAAGTGTAAAACAAAACCCGGTAGAAGTGACTTCTGAGAGGGAGAGCACTAGCGGGAGCTCAGTGAGCAGTAGCGTCAGCACACTGAGTCACTACACAGAGAGTGTGGGAAGTGGAGAGATGGGGGCCCCTACCGTGGTGGTGCAGCAGCCGCCGCCGGCTCTTCAGCAGATGGACTTCGGTGGCCCCGGTGCTGCCGGCGTTTCTCAGTCACAGATCACGCAAGTACAGTTACAGCCTCAAGAACTGAGCTATCCTCAACTGCAAGCCACGCTCAGTGCTGCAGCTGGTATCCAGCCGTCACCTGTTGGTGTGGTTGGTGTAACTTCAGCTGTAGGTCAGCAGCCTTCCGTTTCCAGTTTGGCTCAGCCCCAGCTGCCATACTCTCAGACGGCTCCTCCAGTGCAAGCCCCCCTTCCGGGGGCACCAGCCCAACAGTTACAGTATGGACAGCAGCAGGCGGCTGTCTGTACGCAGACGGTCCCGAGCCATGGTCAAGCAGTGACTCCGAATCCCGCTGCAGAGTATGTACAGCCGCAGCCGGTTCTTCAAACGGCGGTGTCCTCGGGACAGCCCAGTGCTGCAGGAGTGGCAGCAGGGACAACAGTGATTCCTACGGCCCAGCCGCAGAGTCTCCAGCTGCCCGTGCAGCCCGCAGCAATCCAGGCACAACCTGCAGGGGCATCTGGCCAGCCCGTTGGCCAGGCTCACACGGCAGGATCTGTTGCGCCTACTGGCAGTCAAATTGCAAATATCGGTCAACAAGCAAACATACCTACCGCGGTGCAGCCGCCCTCTACCCAAGTCACACCTTCAGTTACTCAGCAAGGTGCTCCTCCGTCGTCACAGATAGGTCCACCCGCTCAAACTGCGATTACTCACCAGGGAGTTCAGACTAGTGCTTCGAGCCTCCCTCAACAATTGGTCCTTGCCCCCCAGAGTACCTTGTTACCTGTGCCTCCCCAGCCACAAGGAGTAGAATCAGTAGCTCAAGTTTCGCAGCAGTTGCCTGCAGTTAGTCCTCTGCCCTCTGCTAGTGGTGTTGCTGTTACCAGTCAGGTTAGTTCAGCCGGTCCTTCCGGAATGCCTTCTGCCCCCACAAACTTGGTTCCACCACAGAATATAGCACAGACCCCTGCCACTCAAAATGGGAATTTGGTTCCAAGTGTTAGTCAGCCTCCCTTGATAGCAACTAATATAAATCTGCCTTTGGCACCACAGATCCCGCTAGGCTCTACTCAGTTCTCTGCACAGTCCTTAGCTCAGGCGATTGGAAGCCAAATTGAAGATGCCAGGCGCCCAGCGGCACCCTCCTTAGTGGGCTTACCTCAGACTATGAGCGGTGACAGTGGGGCAATGTCAGCAGTTTCAGATGGGAGTAGCAGCAGCCTAGCAGCCTCTGCTTCTCTTTTCCCGTTGAAGGTGCTACCGCTGACGACACCCCTGGTGGATGGCGAGGATGAGAGGTAAGCTCATGCCGTGTTTCTGCAGACCTTCAGCAGCTTCCCACTTAATCTGTTTTGTAGCTGTGCGTAGGCACGACGTTTGTCGAAGGCAGTACAGACTTTTTCAGTTTTGCATCTGAAAGTGTGTTTTCGCGGTAAGTTCCCTAGCGCAAGAGTGTTACGGAATGGTTTCAGAGTGGATAGCAAGTGGGTGTAAGTAATACGTAAACTATTTGACAGACGAGTTATTGAGCGTTACGTGTAGGCCTGGGGGGCGCTGAGTGGTGTTTGTTAATCATAAAATGCTTTTTAAAGAGATTTATTACGAACAGAAAATTTGTGCTAACCTGTATAATAGTAAGTCTATTCATTTGAATTCCTAAAATCCTTGTGATCATCTCTTGAAGGGGGGTTGTGCCTCCCACGGTTGTTTCTCCTTTACTAGGTTGGACAATCCTTTTCACTTCTACTGTGTTTGATCTTAGTCTGTGAAAGATAATGTTACCTGCTTTTCCTAGTCAGACGTTATAGGAAAGATGACCTAGTCTGGGTTGTATAGGTTGCCCTCGTGCTGTAATTGACCAACTTTGGTGTACTCATTTAATGGTCATTTTATCTGAACAGAACAGGAATGGGAATCTTAAAAAGTATGTCGTGAGGGAGGAGGGTATACACTGTCAAAATTACCAGATTCATCTTTGATAGTAGTATCCTGTACATTTTTCCTTTTGTGTAAGTAGATCAAGGTGGTAGCCATTTTAAAGAGTAAGGAAAGTCTTGGAGGGTTGAATTTGTAGAGGTATGAAAATAAGACTTTGTTCTCCTGATAATCTATTCCACCTGTTCCCTTCTTTGTCAAAAAAATACCTAAAGCCAAAAATACAGTATTAAACCAGTGTTTTCGTAATTGGAAATAATGCTCTAAACATGCCATTGAATCAAATTGTGTCTTTTAAGCTGACTGCCTAGAAAAGTTGTGAAATCTCTAATGATTCTACATGGCTTTAAACTAAGTTGATTTTTAAAGGAATGTTCTTTCACAGATTTGCTGGTCTGTGACTAACCTTGATCAAAATATTATCATAGGAGTTAATGACAAAGGCTGTTCATTTTAATTATTTTAGTGTTAGTTGGAGATTTTTGTGATTGAACTTTCATCGAACCAATTGGAAATTTATATTCTAAATGTGTATTTGTGGTTTTTCACTTCGGAAAAATTGAGCGTATTTCAAAAGAATTGCAGTTTTAAGAAAAAGAGAACAAAGGCCAGTGTTGCAGTGAGGTTTTCATGATACATACTTTTTTTAGTTACTCAAAAGGTGTAAAGCATGGTTAATTGAAATGATTTAAAATCTTGTCTTTCAAGATTTTTATAATTTTTCCAGGAGTCGTATAATTAAAACCTTGTTACCTAACCAGATGTATTCTGTAACATGTATACAAAACTGTACTTAAGAGGTAGACCTCTTCTAAGGGGTAGTTTCCTTAATAGTCCTATTATAATTATTGATAAAACTTTGTTTCATATGCTAATATTCACCTGTGATTGCTAATATTCACTATAATTTTAAAGAATTATTTACCCCAAATATTAATGTTTTCTAAATCTAAGGGGTGTGACTGAGTGAAACCCCTGAAAATCAGGTATATTATGTGGACGCTAAATTCAGAGAAATAAAAACTTAGATGAAATACACAAATGAAAACCAAGCATTTTGAATTGAAACCTGCCATGATTTTTGTTAATTACCATTTGTGGTCTCCTGGCATGACTTTCTCCTTTTTTCTTCCCCTGGTGGTAGGTCATGATAGAGCTTTCCACAACTTGCCTTTCCAGACAATTAAAGTCAGATGTTGCTACTTAGAACTAGGTTTTTAATTGTAGGGATAGAGGCCAGTTTAAGATATTTAGTACAAAATTAACTTTTCTATATAGTAACTGAGATGAAGATTAATTAGGGACAAATTATGTAGAAAGGTTTGGAAATAAAGGGACAAAAAGATATACTGAAGTATGATTAAATGTTGGTGTAAAGTAATCTGAGTTGACTCTACCTGTTTTGAATTTATTACATATTTGAACCTTTGTTAGTTAACATCAGAGTTAAGTCATCAAAACCAGAAAATTTTTGTTTCATAGGTATCCTTTAAACGCTGAAAAATCAAAATGTGTCACCCCTAAAATACCTATAAAGATCAATAAGGATAAACATGTGTATTATTTTCTTTATGGTGTTTTGCTGCATATTATTTCTTTTACCCCTAAAGCTTAGAAGAAGAAATGTTTCATTGAAATTTGCTCTTGGAAGGGAATTTGAGAGTATCTACAAGAGAAAAAAGTGATAATGATTAAAAAAATTCTTCTTACCTTTTCTTCCCATGATAGCTTCCGTGTCACTTGCATCTTCTGGGGTTTGGTCACCAATTTCTCTCTCATGGGAGGAGGGGGTACATTATAATTTCAATATATGACTTAGAAACCGTGTTAACAGTGAAATTTTTTGGTGGTAAGGCAAATGAAAGATTAGTCGTCTTTTGAAATAATACTCTTAACACTTTAAAATTTAAAATGTTTATTAGGCACGTGGAAAATGCTTTCAGTTGATCATTGGGCAAGAATATAAAAATTAGAAACACAGGTCAGGAGTTTACGTATCTTGTTTTTTAAAATCATTCTCATCAAAAAGGTCTTAATGTCCTATTTTAGCTTTTAACATGAACTTACCTTTATAACACAGGGAAGATAACAGGTCTTTCACACTGATCTATAGTCTTTTGTGTTTTCCAACTATTAGTACAGCCTCTTAAGTAAAATTGGTCATACTTCTCTTCATCCTTCAAGACTCAGCTCAGATGTTCCCTCTGAAGCATTCCTTTTACCCAGGGAATGTTGTTTTCTGAGCACTGTTTGGTGTTCCTCTGTTTAACTGCACTGCACACATGTTTACCTGTCTTCCTCACAAGACTCTGAGCCCCTCAAGGACAAGAACTAAATATTTTTTGAATGAATTAATGAGCAGACCTTTCTCTGCTTTTTCTGTCACTATTTAAAATTTATATTGTCTCATCATAAGCACAACTGTTAGAGATGCAGGATCATATAATTTATGCAATAAATTGAAAAGAAAAGAATAAAAAGGCTTGCTCTTTTGCACCTCTTTCACCTCATCATTGAGGTGAGTTGATATTTATTTTCTAAATATAATGCCTGTTATGTAGTAGGCTCTCAAATTTTTATTAAAGAGGAATGAAAGTCTTATCTATGAAATAGTAATACTCATTTTGCCTACTTCTGAGGATGGTAGCATTAGATAAAATATCTTAACTATAAAATACTAAATTATAGGCTTTAATTTTTATTTAGGTTGTACCTGCACAGTTCAAAGGGTCAAATAATTTACATGGTTATGGAAACAAACAAAAGCTTCCTGCCCCCTTCCTTTCCATTTTTCCTTTCCCAGAAGCAGTCACTTTCACCTCTTTTAGATGATTGTCATGTTTACTTCCTAGTCTGTAAACAATATGCTCATATTGCTCCTGGATGCTGCTAGATGGTTAGGAGCATGGACTCTGGAATTAGACTGTTTAGGTTTGAATCTTCCTCTGTCAACTGTTAGTTTTATGTAATATTGGGCTACTTAACCTCTCTGTGCCTCATTTGGCTCATTAAAAAAAAATGGGAATAATAGTACCTATCTCATAGGGTTGTTATAGGAAATGAATTTGGAAAGCCCTTAGAACTGTGTCTAACTCATAGGCCCTGTATAGTGTGTGTTAAATATAATGCTCTGTGCTTTTGTTTCGGTTTTACTCACTTCCTGGATAGAAAATGAGGATTTAGCTTTGTTATCACCTACTCAGCTGATCTCCTTTACCTCCTGGCACTCCTTCTTCTTAATAGTTATGATTCCAGCACTCCTGATTATTCAGTATTCTTGTAAAATATCACTTTTCCTGTCCTATACAATGTACCGCACTTCCCTGCCTCCCTCTACTCCACCCCAGCTATCTAGTATAATAGTGTACTAGAATATGTAGTATATGTATTTCTGTATACTGCTTAGCATATAGAAATGTTACTAGGTACCCCCCCACCAAGTTTTCATCTGTTTCCTCCAAATTTTCTCCCACTTTTGTATGCCTTTCTCACCGTTTTTGCTTTGCCTTTTGTGACAGAGCCTTTCCTCAGATGTCTGGTAATTCTTGGTCTGGTCGGCTGCTTGCACGTTAGGAGACTAAAGAGCTTATCTAGTCTCAGTGACTTGTTGACTGTTAAGCTTTACCATAGGGTGATCTGGCTGAAGTTCAATGTCTCTGCCCCACCCCGGCTTAGTTTTTGCTGTAATTATCACTAATTCAACTTTTCATCAAATGTCTCTTGAGATGTTCAGACATATCAGGTATTGTTATCAATTTTATCTTCCTGAGGCAGTCTCTCATGCCCCTCTGACCTCCATTCTGGACTGAGTGTCTTTTAGACTTGGTACACAACCATTATTGTGGGATTCCCTTCACTTTCTCCTGTGGTTGGATTTCCATTTTGCTGTGATCCATGTCATGTTCATTCTTGGCTTACTTGATGTTTTAAAATGGTTTTAGGGGATGCCTGGCTGTAGAGCATATGACTCTTGATCTCAGGGTTGAGTTTGAGCCCCGTGTTGGGTATAGAGATTACTTAAAATTAAAATCTTAAAAAAATGGTTTTAGTTTACTCTGACATTCATTTGATTTTCTGGTTAGGTTAAGAATACTACATGTAGGGTGCCTGCGTGGCTCAGATGGTTAAACGTCTGCCTTCGGCTCAGGTCATGATCTCAGGGTCCTGGGATCGAGCCCCGCATCGGGCTCCCTGCTTCTCCCTCTGCCTCTCTCTCTCATGAATAAATAAATAAAATCTTTAAAAAAAAAAAATAAAGAATATTACATGTAAAATTGTATTATTTTATAATTTTGCTCCATTGCTTTCTAGCTTCCATATTGTTTTTGAGAAGTCTGAAGTCACTCTGATTTCTCAAATATAT